AATAATATAAAAAGAATAAAAATATATAAAAGAATAAAAATAAAGTATAAGAAGAATATAAAAATAATAAATCCCAAAGATGTAATAAAAGAAGAAAAGAAGAAATAAAAAGTGTATTTTTATTGTAAAAATTAGAAATATTCAATAATAAGTGTCTAATTTAATGATGTAAAATGATTAACAATATTTTATTGTTGAAAATATTTTACTCTCTTTATGTTTATTATTTATATGTATAATTTCATCATGATGTTTATTATATAATCAATCATATGTGTTATGTTATTATAGCATATAATAAGTGATAAAATATAAATGAAAATGATATGAATATATGATATAGAATATAAAACAAAAGAATAATAAGAATAAATGATAAATAAAAGGAGAAATGATAATCAATGATATAATAATAAAATCAAATTATAAAAGATAAAATTAATATTAATATAAAACAAAAGAGAATAAATATAAAATGAAAATATATATAAATGATAATAATATAAAAGATGAAAAGATGAATAAACAAATAATAAAATACATTTAAATATAAAAGAATAACAATAAGAAAATCTAAATAATATAAACATAAAAATAATAAAACAAGAAGAATATAATAATATAATAATATATAGATAATAAGAAGAATACAATGATATAAATAATATAAACAGAGAAATAAATATAAAAATACGATAGATAAATAACATATAAATAAAAGAATAAAAATAATTAAATATGATTCATCAAATCATCTACTTCATTAATATTTCATACAAAATGAATATAAATGATCATAAAATATAAACATAAATATTTATATATTCTGTATTTATCATACTTTTTATTTTTTATTTCTATTTTATGAGCAAAATATAATAAATGGAAAATTCTAATTATGCAAATTTTTTTGCATCTTTTTTCTTTTTTGTAAATTATTTAGATGCATTTTTTCTTTGCTTATTTTCGTACCCATGTTATGAACATGGATATTTGATGGAATAGAGAAAGAATGTTATCAAATAATATTGATAAATTAATTCTATATTTCAATGATTTTTTAGCGTTGAATTTTAATAGTATGTTAAATTCATTTGTAATAATTACTGTAAGAAGATGTAATGA